TTCCTGTTATTGCCCTACAGGTCACATTTTAGCTAACTTGGCTTTATTAAATGCAATCAAAGCTAACATTAAAACATATAGAAGACTACTAATAATTTTCCTCTCACAGTCTTGATACAAATTAGACTGTATATTCCCATGCTTATTATTTACTTTAAAAACTATTGTTACAATTGTTACTTGCACGCATAGTGCCTTGTCTTTCTGGACCTAATTTATGGTTCAGACTTTTCTTTAGTCAACTTCATCTCTTAATAACTATTTCTTGTTATATTTTCTTTCTTAGTGATTGTTCATGCCTTGCTTGTGTGTAATGCTAGCACTGAACTTACAAATTTGAGAAATATACAGGAAAATGTCAGTTCAATCACTTTGCCAATCATGCAACATCTGCTTATGAAGTATGTAGTTTCCTATTTATAATTTAAATAATTATTTCTGTAGACAGTATTGTTTAGAAACATGGCAGAACAAATATTGCTTCACTGTTTAATATGAATTTTGCATATAATGTGGGAAACATTTAAGATATAACTGTGCAAATAAATATATATAATGTGATTAAAATATATGATATTTGCACTCATGATCTCAGGTTTTTTTAAATCTATGGAAATTTAGATTACCTAGAAAAATTAAATATGAATATACACCAGTATATTCCAATTATGTTCCAAGTACACTAGGAGAGATGTAGCTACAGTATTAAAAAAGGTATCACTTAAGACATTTTTTAGTGTGTTCTTAGCTTCCAGAGATGAATAAGATTGTCTTTATCCCCAGTGTATAATTCAATTCTGCATTATGGCTTGCACCCATAAAATACATCACAACAGGCCATGGCAATAATATTTATGTTGATAATTTCAAAGAAAAAAAATCTGCTAAACTCACATATGTATACTTGCACACAATCCACAAATATCTTGAACGGGTGTTAAGGAAGGATTGAAAAAAAATTTACTACATTTTAAATTATTTTCTTGTAATCTAATGTGCAATCATAAATGACAGTGATATTATCTTTTAAAAATGGAAACACATTTGTACATTTATTGATATAAATAAATTAATTTGAATCACTTGACTGGAAATGTATTTTAATTCTAGTACTATAATTCAAATTATAGTGAATCTTATCTTTTGTATTTTAGGACTTTCAAGGAGTTATCTCCAAAAACCAAAGAGAGGAAACAAAAGTTTAAACCACCAGCGCTAAATACAAATGCAATAGCATCCAAAGCTTTCAGCCCAGAAACAGTTATAAATCTTGCTAGTAAAATTATTCAGGCTTTTCAGCTAAATAAGGATCAGGCCACAGCAATGATGCAGATAGGTGCCATGATGACATCACAGGAAATTAATACAGAAACAGGGAAACATCAGACATTTCCAATAACAATAATACATGGTAAATTATTTTACAAGAGCTTCATATTTTTGCTTCTCCAGTTCTATATTTAGCCCATATTTTTAATGAACCATCTTCTTCCCTAAACATTTTTTTTCCAGAATTTTAATCTAGATTTTTTTTTTCTTACTACTATCTTCCATTTATATTCAAACTTCTTGAACACAATATGTTTAATTCCATGCTGGTGTACTGGATTCATATTCAACTTGCTGCTTCCCATGTACCCCACCAAATCTGCTTTGGAGGGTTGGGGTTTTGCCATGGGCATATTTGGGATATGCAAGGAATGTGCAACAGGGAGGAAGCTAAGAATTTTCTTTAGGAGCATTTATATTGAATAAGTTTTCTATGCAGTCTACTTCAGTATCCACTGATACGCAGATTAAATGAAAAGGCATGTTCTAACTACACTGAACTGTGAGATTAGGACAAAATATTATCTGAATCTTTTCACTATTCTAGTGTGCAACAATTGTAGTGTTAGTCAGCTTTCTACCCTAAATCCCAATATAACACTTCAGCTAATTAGATGCAATCATTGTACATACAACTAAGAATGTTTGGTTTATGTTTTCTCATGATGAATGTTTGGTTTCTCTAACCCCATTAATGCTCAGCCTACTTTCAAAGGAAATAGCCGTTTGAAAGGTCAGTGCATAATATGTTTGTCTGGTTCTGTTAATGTACTTAATTTATTAAACTCAACCTATAGGTGTATTTGGATCTGGAAAAAGCTTGTTGCTGGCTATTGTTATTTTATTCCTGGTACAAATATTTGAAATCAGTGAAGCAGCTAATGGCAAAAGGTCAGCGCCATGGAAAGTATTGGTTTCTTCTTCCACAAATGTTGCTGTAGACAGAATACTGTTGAGGTAAGTAATTTAGGAATTATTTATGCTCATATTGTTCCCATACAAGATCCTTTGTTTTTCTTTTTTGTTACAATAATATTGTAAGTCGATATAATTAATCTTGATTTTCCCCTTCCTCTTCGTTTTTGCAAACTAATCAAATGCAGCTTTTTGCTTTTCTTCTGGGTACCAACCTAAATGCTATTTTGACGAAATCTAAAAGCACTTTCTAATCAGACTTTCACACTTGGCCTGTTATGGAAGAAAAGAATACTCATAAATACTAGTTTAATCTAGAGTTGGAAAAAAATTTTTTAAAGCTTAGGGCTAATGAGAAGCAATTTGAAATGAAAACGTTGAAAAATGAAAAGAATGTTATTTGGAGTTTCTTTGGGAACTTGTAATTTTATGAAGACCTCTTGAAATTTGAACCAAACTCTGCCTCAAGAGCATTTTTTCTGATTCTCCTCTTCTAACTATTTAACATTGCACAGAGTGACAAAATGATTAATGTAGCAAGTTTCTACCCAAATTCCTCCAATTCACAGTCCTTCTGCAGAGTAAAAGGAGCATTAATATCCCTTTGTCCCTGAAGCATTCACTGGAAAGACTTTAACCTCTCAAATGGAGAACTCTGTTTATTTATATCCTTACCCCCTCCTGAGCCAGTTTGGTGTACTGGTTAAGGCATCAGGCTAGAAACCAGGAGACTGTGAGTTCTAGACCCCCCTTAGGCACAAAATCAGCTGGGTAACCTTGGGCCAGTCACTCTCTCTCAGCCCTAGGAAGGCAATGGCAAATCACTTCCAAAATCTTGCCAAGAAAACTGCAGGGACTGTTTCACGCAGTCTCTAGGAGTCAACACTGAGTCAAAGGTGGGAAAAAAAAAAAACCCTCCTGAGCCCCTATAATTGGTTAAAGTTATCCCAGTGTGACAGCTTCAGATTTGCACATGAACATTTCAGTTTGTAAACTGGTGAAGTTTAATGACTATTACAAAATATAAATGAAAGGACCAACATTTCTTTTAATGTATTTCAAATAATGAATTGTTGTTGTTTACTTCAGCCTATTAGACATTGGATTTGAAGACTTCATTAGAGTGGGAAGTGTTAAAAAAATTGCAAAGCCAATACTTCCTTACAGGTAACTTGCTTAAAATCTTTAACCAGGTCCAAGTGTCACATATGGGTCTACTAGGAGCCTTTGAGCAAGCAAGAGTTTGTGTAGAGGCACAAGAGTACTTTCACAAGAGAGCCATATAAGCAGCTGGCACAGTTGTGTGATTTTTTTTCAAACTACAGGTAGCTATATGGAAATTCAAACCAGTCTTTTTAGCAACTTATACAATTAGAATAATTTATTCCCTTATTATTTTCATCATAAGAGATTATTTTTCTAGGTTCATTTACCATTACTCCCTACCCTCCAAAGTTATCAGGGGATAAGTGAACATTGGGCATTTGGACAGTAACATTTATTGAAGGATGTAAGCCACCTTGAGTATTAGTATGGGACATAAATTATCCAAATAAGCACTTGGAATGAGTTCTTAGTGAGGTTGAGCTGATGACTACTTCTATATTATTCTGTTTAAGGACATTTTATTTTCCAGATCTTTTTAAAAAGTCAGGTGAATTTTATTCTATGATTTTTATTGCTATATCTTTCTGCTGTTCGGACATTTTAAAATTATTTTTAAAAAATTGTTTTGATTTGTATAAGCCACTCTGAAAACAACTGGTGATAAAGTGTACATTTTAAAACAAATATATGAGCCACCTAGAGTCATGTATTTGAGATGGGCAGCCATATAAATCTAATAAATAAATCAATCCTTGCTGGCTACATCTGTGCAGAATTTTTGAATGCACTCACATATAAACAAGTAGATTCTAACCTAGGCTACTGCTTATAATTTATTATTTGGGTGTAAATATAACTTTTTACACAAGGCTTCTTCAAATAGATAATCCCTTATCTTCTGTTCTTTATTCCATAAAGTAGTATGCTATGCTATCTTTTGGGGGGGGGGATCTTCTCTTAGATTTCAGTAACTGAGCATATATCTAAAGTAGAAGCAGAAGTCCTTTGTGCAGAGGCACCTTAGCACAAATGAACTGTTCTGTTCAGCATTATTCCCTACAATTATGCAATATGTTAAAGCTTGCATGCTGGCTCAGGACCTGAAAATGAACAGCTGAAAGAATTACTTGCCTTGATGAAGGAAGATTTAAGCCCAGTGGAAAAAATCTTTGTGAAGAAGACTATTGAACATCATAAACTGGGCACCAATAAAGCTTCCCTGAGAAAGGTAATGATGAAGTGTGTTTGCATGTGCCAATAAGTAGCATAGATTTTTGTTATTACTAATTTTATTTTTAGATGCTCTGGTTAAGGAGTACAGTGTGGTGAACAAAAATAATAGAAACAATCAACAATAAAGCCATCTAGCCTAAAGCCAATGGAACAATAAGAATACAATCAAAGCAAAGTTTATTTAAAAAGACAGTCTGGAACTGTAAATTCCTGAGTGAAAAAGCATATCTTCAGTTATCATTTAAAGCAAAATTGTGAGGGAGCTATTAGCACTTCCTTTAGGAGACAGTTAATTGGAGTATTGTCCCAGTTGTGCATTGATGGTGAAATGGAATATAATTATGGAGAAATCCTTCATTAGTTAACTTGTGATGTAAAAATAATTAGCGAACATTTTTATGGACATTAATGTTGGAACTATAGACTTGGTAGATCTAACTACAAATGAATCATTTGGACAGGTATTATGATGAATCTCTTTGGGAGTTAGGAAAATTATGGGCAAGGATCAGAATTATTTGAATATAATATGTTCTATTGTGACAAACTAGTTTTCTTTCTGCCAATATTAATAAGAAGCTGTTCTGCAAGTTAAATATGTATAATACAGTCTTATTTCAAGTATATTTAGAAGTGAGATTTATTGAGTGAAATAATGCTCAACCCTAGTAAACAGACTTTTTCCAAATGCTGAATTTGGAAACTGCATCTAGTGTGTTTTTTTAATGTGAAGCAAATTACTGAAAAAGAAAATATTTAAGAAATACAGTAAATTTTCAGGTTAACAGACTAATGAGGGAAAGGGTGTCTGCCATATCCAAATGTCTTTTAAACTGTGAGTTGATGGGGGAGGGGGGCTCCAAAACACATTCATACTTCAATGATTGCAACAAATTAGATTTTTTTGTTGGCGAGAGTAATTTCCTAAACAATGGACTTTGTCTTGCAGTGCTTTAAAGAAATCCTACTGAAATTTGAACCAGACTCTATTTTAAGATCATTTTTTTTCTGATATCTCCTATTTAATGCTAGCATAGAATGATAAGCAATTAAGGTTAATGTAACAAGTTTCTACCAAAATTCTTCCAATTTACAGTTCCTTTGCAGAATAAAGGGAGCTTTAATATCCCTTTGTCCTTGAAGCATTCATTGGAAAAACTTTATCTTTCAAAGGGAGAACTCTGTTTCTTTATAGTCCACACCACCTCCCAAGTTCTTTTAGTAGTCAAGGATAGCCCAATGTTATAATCTGAGATTTATACATGAATAAATTTGAAATGACTTTGTCAAATGACAAAATCCATTGTTTGGGTGGTTGTTATTGCCTGAAATTTGGTCAAACTCAAATCCAGCAGAATTTGTCTACTAAATCCAAAGTCCACTAAACTGCTACCCCTTAAATTGAGCGTTTATTGTAACTATGAATAAGACTGGGCCATAAAGTAATCAGTCATTCTTTTACTACTTAAAGACGTTAGCAAATGTGGCATCAGATGCATAAACTAAACCTTAAGTTACTTGCGTTTTTAGTGCTTGCATGCTTCGTTTAAAAAAAAAAAAGCAAACTTGGGGCACAGGTAATAGATTCAGGATCATGGGGTCATGTTTACTCATTATGTTTTATTATAAATTTGA